TACTTACTAGAATAAAGCAGGGGACTGGGGGCAAGAATTGGAATACACAGGGCAAAAGTGAAACTGATCATTTTCCCAAACCCATAGATTTAGAATATTAGGAGGAAGATACATAAAGCCAAGAATATGAACCAGGAACACCATTCAATGATACATACACCCCACACCTCCCACAATGAGGGCTTCCTGGGAACCACAATGCGCCATGGCTCGCTCTGTGATCTCTACCAGCATTGCAAACACAGTTTCCTATGGAGAACAGAGAATATGAAAATGTCAGAAAGACATCCCAGCTCATTTCTGCTCTACTGTATAAAATCTATCCTTTAGATTGGGTACAGTGGGGCAAGCCTATAATCTCAGGTATTTGGGAGGCTGTGGCAGGAGATTTCAAGTTGAGGCCAGCCTCAAAAACTTAGCAAAACCCTATGTCAAAATAAAAATAAAAAAGGATTTGCTGGGGTTGAAGCTCAGTTGGTAGAGCACTTGCCTAGCACGTGTGAAGCACTGGGTTTAATCCTCAGTGCCACATAAAATAAAATAAAGATATTGTGTCCATCTACTATGAAAATATTTTTAAAAACTAACTAAATAAATAAAATAGACTAGGGATTTAGCTTAGTGGTAGAGTTACCCTGGGTTAAATCCCTAGTACCACCCTACCACACCCACTTTAAAAATTAAAAAAAAAAACAAAAAAACAAAAAAACAAAAAAAAACAGACTTTAGCCTCAACTTTTGTCCCATTTTTTCATTCATTACCTGCAAGGAGAAACATAGATCCTCAGGAGTACACTCGCCTGTGGCCAGCATCCGTTGGGCTACATCCTACAAATAAAGGGAAAACAAAAAATGAACAGTGTTTTGGAATGTAATGAGAGCAAAAATTAGCACACTCAAAGGATCACCATGTTTCATCATACTTCAAAGTACCAGCATTCTGTAGCACACACTGCCCTTCCTCACCCAGCTATACAATGGGCAGCATTCATTTAAGATTCAATAATTAGGATTTGACTTGTCTTGAAGTATACTGAATTAATGCTATTGATTTTCCTGAGTAGGAGCCAGGGAACATACTATCAGGAAAGTTGCAAAAATATAAAGTCCTGGCAGTCTTTGCATTTCTAGAGTAAATTCAGATTTGGTGGGGTGGGGCTGCTGTGGGGAGGATTGAACTTCATGAATGCTAAGCACTTGCTTTACCACTTTGTTACATTCTAAGCCCTAATTTTTATGTTTTAGAAGCAAAGTCACATGACTGATTGATTTCACTAAACAAGAAAACCTCACTCCATTTCCTATCCCATCCCCATACCCAATTATAAGAGACTTCATCTACAGATCCAGACTATACTCTTCGAAGCACATCAGGGTCTTTGCTCTACATGTTCCTTTACCCCACATCTCAGGTATTCTCATTTGAGGGTGTAAAGTTAAGTTCAAAATAATCTTGTTTTTGTATATATCCTCGTACTTGTTTAGAAAATAGGGCAGTGGGACTTCCATTTATTTACATTCAATTTTTTTTTTTACATTTGTGTAAAGTTTTTTTGTTTTGTTTTGTTTTTTAAAATATCTTTATTTTGTTATTTTTATGTGGTGCTGAGGATTGAACCCAGTGCCTCACTTGTGCAAGGAAGCGCTCTGCCACTGAGCCACAATCCCAGCCCTGGAGCACAATTTTTCATTTCTCTGGTTGTACATGTTGTAGAGTCACACCATGCATGTAATCATACAAATTCTGTGTTTTAATGTTTATGTTTTGTATTTTAACATGAATATTAAAATAAGAGTTTGCCCCCCCCCGCAAAAAAAGATTCAATGATTATTTATTGAAAGGTTGTCCTGGCATCTCTCACCTCTTACTTACCCTGCCTATTTTTTCTCATAGTACTCATAATTATCTGACATGTTACATTTCATTATTCTCTCTCTCTCTCTCTTTTTTTTTTTTTGCTTAGCTGACTCTATTAGGATCTGAGCTTTATGTTGTCAGGGATATTATTATTATTTTTTTTTTTTCAGTGCTGGGGACTGAACCCAGGACCTTGCACATGCTAGGCAAGTGAACTACAGCCCCTAGGCACAGATTGTTTTGCTCCATGCCATGTTCCTATTATCTAGAACAGTGCTGGTACACAGAAGACATTCAATAAACATGTGCCAGGTGAACATATTCAGCATCTGATATGGAGCAGAACTATCTGCAGGAAATACAATGGTGAGCAGAATAGATATATTCCACTGAAAAAGTATGAAAGTGCCTCCACCTCCTTACCTCTCACACTCACCTCAATGAAAGACAGAATCCCTGAGAATGAGACATCCATTCCCTTTACAGTATATGGCAGCTCAACAAGCTTTTTGCCTCTATGTAGAAATGAGTAAAGGCATTAAGCATACATTCAGATGGCTGCTCTCCCTCCCAAAATCTTCCCAAACTTCATTACTATATATGCAGGGACAAAAGCATATATAATAATGGCCCCAACGGCCAGGCCTTTTCCATCATATGTTCTCTTACCTCTTTGCCATCTGTTCAATGTTGTAGCCTGGACTAGGATCATTGGAAATCTAGAAGAAAAAACAAAGTAGATGACTATACAAACATGCTTATTATAAAATACAGAAACATATTCTTGTACATATATGGATGTACTTGTCATTCTAGTGTGCCACTCTCCATACCAAGCTAAAGAAAACCTGTCTATTTTTTTGTGTATGTGTTTATGTGTATAATAAAACATTTACATATGTGCATATATTTATTTATTTTACGGAATCATGCCTTCATGTAGGTACAAACTAATGTTTGTAACAAAAAAATAACATACCGATATAACATACTTATTTATTATTAAACATTTAAGTGCTTACTATCCATCCATGTTAAAAAGAAAAAAAGTTAACGAAAGAGGATGAAGTCAGATGTGCAAAAAATATAAGAAGCTATTTATTTACTACTTCCTCCATTTCCATTGCTCCCCAGAAATTTGCCCATATCTTATATTATCTGCAGACTCAACAGCTTACCTTCAGCACTCGAGCAAAACGATCCAGACAATTACCAACAGCAATATCGATGGTTTCACCAAATATGCGGTAACGACGTTCTGAGTAGGCAATCACCTAAGGGCGATGAGGATGTCCATGAAACCTCAAGTCTGTAAAAGGGAGTATTTGGCTTTGGGGAAGAAAGCAGCAGAGTATCAACATGGCTGTTAGTTTCCAATGAGAAATGGAAAAAAAGTATTTTCCCAAACCCTGAGTGGGTAATTTCTATATGGTTCTTCTCTGATGAGAAGCCTAAAAACCCTAAGGATTCCTACAATAGATTCTTAAATCTATAGAAGATGACTTAGTAACCTATCACTATACTTTGGGCATACACAAAAAATGTCATTACAGAGACATTTTTCCAGTTTAGAGGTTCCTAGTATATCCCTCAAAAGCAGTCTTGAGGGTATAGAGTAGGAAATGTGTTTTCCTGCTTGGAGGCAGGGAACAAGAGTCATTCTAGGTAATTCTTACCAGTGCGGTAATATTTGGAAACAAGAAATCGAAGAATTAAAAAATCTCGTATGAGATTAGATACATGGCCTACCCAACATAGCAATGGCAATCCACTTATGTCCAATCTTCGTATGTGGCAAACTTTTATCATAAAGAATATTTATCACCATCTGCGCAAGGTGGCGCATGTTTATAATCCCAGCTCGGGAGGCTGAGGCAGAAGGATATCTTCTCCTTTGTTAACCAAAGCCAGCCTCAGCTACAATGAAATGCTAAGCAACTCAGTGAGATTGTCTCTGAATAAAATACAAAAAAGGACTGGGGATGTAGCTCAGTGGTTGTGTGCCCGAGTTCAATATCTAGTAAAAATAAATAAATAAATAAATAAAACCAGGTACAGGGTGCACACTTGTAATCCTAGAAACTCAGGAGGGTTAGGCAGGAGGACTGGAAGTTTGAAGCCAGTCTGGGCAACTTAATGAGATCATCTCCAAATAAAATTTTAAAAAATCAAACAGTAGGAAAGAGTGGCAGCTCAGCGTGGTTGTGCATGACTGTAAACTCAGCATCTTGGGAGGCTAAAACAGGAGGATTGCAAGTTTAAAGCAAGCCTTGGCAATTTAGTAAGGTATAAGCAACCTAGTGAGACCCTGTCTCATAATAGAAAATAAAAAGGGCTGGGATGTAGCTGAGTTAGAGCCCCTCTGGGTTCAATTCTCAGTACTACCAAAAAACCCCAAAACTTCAAGATAGTCAAAGTCTCCTTATCATTCTTTCCTTTTCTAAATTAGAAATTCCTTACTTTTATAATCACATATAGAAAAATTACATAATATTCTAATTATCTTGCCCAATTCTAAATCAAAACTGTTTTGAGTTTTCTACAATACCTAGGTTCAGATAAGCCCAGCTTTGTTTTTACAGTTCCTACAACTCAGGTACAGTAGGAAACTTTTAGGTCGACTGCCTCAGAAATTATTAAAATATAATAGGTACCATAAATACCTGCGTATTTCCTCCACTGACATACAACACAGTTGGGCTGGTGGCTCCAGTGATGAGACGGCCCATTTCAATGTGGCCTATACAGTGGTTCACACCTAGCAATGGTTTATTCCATAGTTGGGCCATAGTACGGGCCACAATGGCTACAGAAACCAATGGGGCACCCATGCCAGGACCTAGAGGCATAGAAATGGGAGTTAAAATCCTAGAGATTAGAAAGAGCAGATGAAAACAGTAGACATGAGAGTACATGAGGAAGAATGATGGTGGCATAGGCAAGGGGTAGGCTGTTTTAACTATATTCCAGGTATTCTTCTCCTTTGTTACCCTTCTCCCAGTCATACCTTTGGTGTAAGCAATGCAGTCGATATCCTGGTAGGTTACTCTAGCTTCTGTTAGTGCCTCCTGCAGAATGTCTAGGATAACAGCCCGGTGATGCCTGGCAGTATCACCTGGAAGGAACCCTAAGAAATGGACACAGATGAAAGATCATAGTTTTCCCTTAGAAGATAAGTAGAAGTAAAAAACAAAACTGGAGGTTTTAGTAATGAAGGAAGAATTGTTTCATTCTACCAAATTTTTAAATAGTCTTTTTCCAACTTCTAAACAATCTGTTCCTCTTTCAGAACTGCCCTTCTTTATATCCAATTTCTATTCAGCTTTTGGAATTCAATTAAAGTGATACCCATACTTTCTGGTGACCTTTTCTGTGACTCTAAAGAACCCTACATAAAATTACATTGCTGTAGATGACGAAGAAGAAATATAGCACTATAATTATCTATAGTTTCCCCAGTTTAACCATAAGTATCTCAGAGCATTAGCCATTTTATTTATATTTCCAGTATCCAAGTACTTAGAAGAGTTAATGGCAAACATAAACACATATTTCTAAGTAATAACCTGTTACAACAGCACTTGTTTCTAGAGTTTTCAGGTACATGCAGGTCTATAGATATTTGTCCTATCTATTTGTGCAGCTATTATAAGAGAGGCTAGGCAAGATGCAATATCTTATAAGTAATATTAATTACAAATTATAATGTGTCTGGTAGTTTCATGTAGTCCTCAAGGCCCAGAGATACAGGTGTTACTTTTCCCACTTTAAGAGCAGAATACTGAATATGAATCTTACATACTTATCCAGTTCTGACACCAAAACTAATAAGACTTTCTGCTCTCCTCTCCCCCATTATTCTAGAAAATTCTGACACATCTGCCCTAGGATCTGTTTACATTACAAGTCCGACTCTACCCCAGGCTCATAACTCCTATTTTTTAATGTTCAGCTCATAAAAGACGCTGAATAAAATCTGAACGAACCAAGAAGATACAGACTCAAATGCCTAGGACTCTTCTAGTCACCAGCCTTGTAACATTTGGCCACATAATAATCCCAACCAGACTCTTAGCTAATGCTGTACAAGTTGACAACGCGCACCCACTTCACTAGTGTTTAGGAAGATGGAAGGCGATGCTGTGCAGAGAAGCCAGCCGCAACTAGAAGTACCCTAATGACTCACCTGTGCCCGGAGGTGTGACATAAGTTCGTCGCGGGTTCGCCAGCACGTTGCCATCACGCACCACTCCCACACCAATCTTGTTGGCACTGCCTTCAAAACCCAGCACCGTCGGCATGGTAGAGCCAGAGAAAAAACGCCGGCAGGCTACTAGAAACGGTGGAGCTACGGAGGCCCTCACGCTTCGGTGCTGGGCAGTAGATTCCGCAGCACCGAGAATGAAGTGGCAGCCACAAGTAGAAAGCAAAACGGCACACGGCCAAGCACAGAACTACGTCTAAGGGTGGCACGACCGCGCCGACCGCGCCGCAGCTGTTAAAGCCCCTTCAGGACCTGTCTTCTTAAATGCCAGGGGCGCGGGACGGGTCTCTGCGCCTAACATCCGTATCTGGTCCCCAACCTCTCTTCTGTGGTTCAGCCCAGCCCTCCCCATTGATTTCTTCCCTCTTTGCATAGCGTTAGGATCTTCGGTCTAGGTGGCAGGATAAGTCATAAATCTGGCAATAAGATAAACAGCGCTAAAATGGGGCCGTGGGGCCTTCAGTCCCCTGAGAAGAGCCAGAGAAGGGCGGGCACTTCTCTATCACGTGGTTCCAAACAGACCAATCGCCCGCATGCGTGGATCACGTAACCACATCAGTCACCCACGTGGGCGCAAAGCGTGCTCCATTCTTTGTGTTCGGGTAAGGAGGTGCCACGCTCCGACCCAAGCAGGTCAGATTCAGGGTTGCTGTCCTACTAAATGACCGGCCAGCCCATTAGTGACTCATAATTAAGATCCTTACTTGGCCAGAGGGCAGGTTTTGCGAGGAGGTTACGACTCATTTTTAAATGATCTAATGTGGGTGAGGGGCTGAAGGACCTGTGATGCACTAAGGCGGGGAAAGAGTTCGGAGATAAGATAGTTTGAAAGGCGGGACTTGGTGTGTGGACGCCGTAGGGAGGAGTCTTCATCCTAGTCTTACATGATTCCACAATTTTTTTGCGAATGTAGGCAACACGGTAAAAGTACTGTTTCGGTGGGCGACGTGGTACTGGTTCCGAAGGGCGTTCGTTACAGGGATGCCAAAGCGTGGGAAAAAGGGAGCGGCGGCAGAAGATGGGGAAGAGCCCAAAACTGGTAAGAAAAAGAAATAAAATAAACCCCTCTCCCTCCAAGCTGCGGCACAGTGTTTATGGTTTCCTCGATGAACCATAAATGAGAAGCTGAATCATACTTTTACAGGAATTGGCAGAGAAGACAAGGCAACTATCGATTCTCGGTAGTCTATAGTAAACTATTGAGGTTGCAAATTGCCAATTTTATCATTATCTGTTATTCATTCTGTAGAGCCAGAGTCCAAGAAGAGTAAGGTAGGAGCAAAAAAAAAAGAAAAAGAGACAGCAGGAGAGGGCCCAGTCCTGTATGAAGACCCTCCAGATAAGAAAACCTCACCCAGTGGCAAATCTGCCACACTCAAGATCTGCTCTTGGAATGTTGATGGGCTTCGAGCCTGGATTAAGAAGAAAGGTTTAGATGTAAGTGGAATTCAGGGAGGGGAAGATATATTCCATAATCTTGAATGGTCTTGCAATTTAATCACCTTGTCTCATTGTTTAAACACCAGGATGTTATTTTTCTCTTGCCTAGAGTTGATTTTTGGGGGGAGGCAGGGGGTACTGGGAAATCCATGGGTGCTTTACCACGGAGCTACATCTCCATTCCTTTTTTTTTTTTTTTGAGATAGGGTTCTGCTAATTTGCTGAAGGTCTCATTGAATATTAAGGGTGGCCTCAAACTTGATATTCTCCTGCCTCATCCTCTGGAATTGCTGAAATTACAAGTTGTGTGCCACCATATGTGGCACTTGTCTGTAGTTTTCTTGTGGGAAGTACAACTAGGGGCTTCATCAAGTCTTGCCTAAATGTCCATTCCATCAATTCCATTGCCATTTCTTGTTTCATGTCCTTGACTCTTCCCTAGAATGTTGTAAAAACCTCTATACTCGACTTCCTCTGTTTTATATCCACCATATTCTCCATCCTAGTAATTGCTGCTTCAAAATCTTAGCTGGCTATGCACTGCATATACCAAAAAAAAAAAAGTCCTTAGTACAATGTGTAAAATATTATTATCCCCCACCATTGGTGATTAGTGGTCAAGTTGTGTAATTTGTAATTACTGTTCTAACAGTCAAGAAGCATAACGTTTAAACAATAAATGTCTCTGGAGGGTTTGGAATGTGTTTTAAGTGTAGAATGCTTGTCTGTGAGGTCCTGGGTTCAGTCCCAAGTACTGCAAAATAAATGTTTGCTGAATTGACAATGTCTTTTCCATCTTTTTTCTTTTTTAAACTTCCAGTGGGTAAAGGAAGAAGCCCCAGATATCCTGTGCCTCCAAGAGACCAAATGTTCAGAGAATAAACTACCACCTGAACTTCAAGAGCTGCCTGGATTATCCCATCAGTACTGGGCAGCTCCTTCGGACAAGGAAGGATACAGTGGTGTGGGTCTACTTTCCCGCCAGTGCCCCATCAAAGTCTCTTATGGCATCGGTGAGACCCTATTGATTCCTAATGCCTGTGATGCTTCAACCAATTGTTACTACTTCTTTTTTTCCCCAGTGTCTTATTACCTTCGCTTATAGGCTTTTCATGCTGATTGTTTTCATTTTTATAGGTGAGGAGGAACATGATCAGGAAGGCCGGGTAATTGTGGCTGAATTTGACAAGTTTGTGCTGGTAACAGCCTATGTACCTAATGCTGGCCGGGGTCTGGTAAGGCTGGAGTACCGCCAGCGCTGGGATGAAGCCTTTCGCCAATTCCTGAAGGGCTTGGCTTCCCGCAAGCCCCTTGTGCTATGTGGGGACCTCAATGTGGCTCATGAAGAAATTGACCTTCGTAACCCCAAAGGAAACAAAAAAAATGCTGGCTTCACTCCACAGGAGCGCCAAGGCTTTGGAGAATTGCTGCAGGCTGTGCCACTGGCTGACAGTTTCCGCCACTTGTACCCCAACACTGAATATGCCTATACCTTTTGGACTTACATGATGAATGCTCGGTCCAAGAACGTTGGTTGGCGCCTTGATTACTTTTTGTTGTCCCACTCTCTTTTACCTGCATTGTGTGACAGCAAGATTCGCTCCAAGGCCCTTGGCAGTGATCACTGTCCCATCACCCTATACCTAGCACTGTGATACCCTCTTAGAATAATTTTGAGCCTTGGAAATAGCTTCCCTTACCCTCAATGTTCCTTCTTTAGTACCTTGCTAGAGAAATCTGCATTTTATTTCTCTTCTGTAAGAATGAATCCTTAAATGAAGCTATTGTTACTAAGGTTTCTTTTAAGCCCAAGTTTTTTGTTGTGTGCACACATGCCCCAGTTTTTTTTTTTTTTTTTAAAGACTTATCTGTAAAAATAAAAGGTCATAGTTTTGTCTTTGCTGTGTTTTGTGTTTTACCCTTTGTGGGGCTGTAGAATCCCTTCCTCATCTTTTTATACATACAAGTTAACAAAGGTTAGAGTCATGACCTTATTTATTTACAAGCACAGGATGAGTCCCTAACCTCCCCCAAGAGCAACCCTACCCAGCCCAGTTAAACACTGCAACTGGGGAGGCAAGGAAGGTTGTAAGGAGGAATTTCGGGAAATAACAGGACTGGGGGAACATACCCCACATTAAATAGTTATATACACATCAGTTCCTGTGGTTCTGTACAGAGCAGCGGCTGACCCCACCCCCACAGGACACGGAATGTGGGGAGAGAAGACTTGAGGGTACTCAGGCCAGAGTCAGCCCTGGTGAAGTGCAATAGCAGCAGCAAAGTCCTAATGGTGCACAAGAGGGAGGGGAACCCCCCAGGGCTACCCACCCCCACCCTGCCCTGGAATGTGTAAGGGACAGGAATGGCTCTCAGGGAGCGCATAGGAAGGACAAGGCTAGACCCATCTTCTGGACCCAGGATTAGGGGCAATATTTTGCCTACTTCACCCTATACACAGCAACCCTTGGAGGAAAGCAGATGGCCAGCAGTGGTCTTATCCACCCCTCCAAACCTAAGTGAGGGCCTGGTTCCTTCCTACCTCTCCCCAGGGAAAAGGAAGGCAGCTGCTTGGCTTCCTTACTTGAAGCCCAGGGAACCTTTTACCCCAGCTCCCTTTGTAGTGTCACTGTCCCCACCAGGGAGGGGCCAGACACAGTCTGTGGATCATCAAGGGGCTCAGGAGAAGTTCTGGACAGGGTGGCTGACCTTCATACAGGCCCAATATAGGGCCCGGCCCAAACACAGCACAGCCAACAAGATGACAAAAGCCCAGGCTGCATAGATACCTCCATATCTCCGTGCGTGCTTCCATGTACCAAACTGATGAAGAGGAGGAAAAAGAAAGATGAGGTTGCTGTTGAGGCCCTGCCACTTCCTAAAAGCCCTGGGAACAGTAAGAATTCAAGCTTTATGTGTAACTACCTTTAGGGACCTTCCTCCAAAAGGCTAGGTTGTTTAACTCCCATCCCCTAGGCAGGAAAATACTCATAATCATCCCAGCCATCTGTTAGTACTTCTTGTGTATAACAATGAAGATAGGCTTCCAAATAGTAACTCAAAACTCCCTCTCCATTGTCCTAACTCCTACACAGAAGACAGCTACTTTTCACTTAAGACTTATCGGTTACCTTCAACTTTGGCCCACTTATACCTTAAAACAATCTCCCTTGCCCCCAGTTTCTTTCATCTTTTTCTAGGATACCAATTTCCCAAAGCTTAGCCCATGATGAGACTGAAGAATGAAAAGGATTGGGTCAAGGTTACTCACAGCAAGGCCAGTGGCAGTGACTGCCAAGAGCAAGCCAAGCAAAAAGCAGCAGATACATCTTTTTCTCGGATATCTGCGCCCAATAGAAGATCTGCAGGGAGGCAAACGAATAGATACAATAGCCTTGTTGTTTTAACTCTATACATCACCCAATTACAAGCTCAATCACTAATCACTTACACTTTCCTGCAGTGAGGACAACGTGCCAAGGTTCGATCAGTGAATTCTGTCCACTATGGAGAAAGAAAAATTAATTATAGAAAATTAACTATAGAAAAAAACTGAAGCAAAAAGAAGCCGGAAAAAGGGGGCCCCACAGGACATACCTTTTCAGGATTCATAGTCATTACTCAAGCTTTTCCCCCCAGGCCTTCCCAATATCATTCCTTACCAGAAATGTATTCTTGCAATGTCCACAGATGACTCTGACACCCATTGGCTGTGGATCTGGACTTGAAGGTCCTGGGTGAACAGGCCCCAAGTTGATGATTCTTTTGCTTTATGGGAGAAAAAAAGACTGTGATTAAAAATTTTAATCCTAAGAATCCCCACACCGTTCCTCCTTTGCATTTCCCAGTCTCTATCAAGTTCTACTTCTCTGTACAAATCCTTCAACCCTTCCCCAGAGAATCCTGAGGAATAGCACTACTTAAACTTTAGGTCTCTAATGCCCTTTTAACCTCAAAAAAATTCACCCAGCCCCCAACACTCCATTCTCCTAAAGAACACCATTTCCCTTTTTTTTTTTTTTAGTTGCAGATGGACACAATACCTTTTTTCCCCCTATTTATTTATTTTATGTGGTGCTGAGGATCGAACCCAATGCTACCCATGTGCTAGGCAAGCACTCGACCACTGAGCTACAACTCCAGCTGCCAAGAACACCACTTCATCTCAAATCTTTTTATTGAAAAAAGAGGAAGCTGGCTATAATATTCCTTTGGCACAATGCTCTATAGCCCTTTCTCCTTCTAAACAAACATGAAGCTCTCTCACTTCTCCGTTCTTATAAACATTCATCCTTTTTTGGCTTTCCAATGTTCCCTATTTATGCCCTATTTTCCTTCCTTGTGCCTCTTACCAGTAGGGACGTGGGCAGGCAATCCGCTGGGAAGTCACTTTGCAGATAAGGAGACAGTTACAGGGGCATCGAACATATTTTTTCCCTGGGGGTGCATTCTTGATAGGCTAGAGAATAATGGGAACATCAGCAAGCAACCCAATCCCTTCCATTTCTCTCCAAAAACACTTTTTGATAAGAGATCAGACTGATAAGGTTCTACCCAGGAAGGAGACACACATATCATGACATTTGCAAATAAGAACTACACTTAAGTATTCAGGATAGGTGTGAGGATGAAGTACAGTGAACATTAGGTTTGGTGAGTGGCTTCTGGGGAAATTGCTAAGTGATACTCGCGGAACTGAAACTAGGTTTTATGAAGATCCCTTGGCCAAAAAAACTGACTGAGATCAGAAAAAGGATCCAGAAAGCAGGGCCCATTTTATAGATTTGTATAACTCACGGTGGCTTCATTGCAGACACCACATTTGACTACATGCTGATGCATCTTGCCTTCCACGTTGATGAGAGACTGGCAGACTCGGCAGGTGATCATGGGGGCACTCCCACTGTCCGGGCTGGTCAGGGGTGAGTAGGGGGGCGGATCCTCCCCAGGCAACACGGCTGGATGCCCCTCAGGAAACGGGGGAAATGCTGAAGAGGAACCAGATAAAAAGAGGTGCTGGGTTTGCTTGCAGACATGCCCCACTGATGCTCCACGGGGGTAGGGAACTTTTTCTGATCTTCAACTCTTGTGACCAAACTCGGAGGACTCCTCATAATCGCCGCTTCCATCGTCTTCCTCAAAACCCAACTCCGTTCCCAGACTCTGTCGAGATTGCAGAGGAAAGGAAGCCTCGCCCCGTTACAGGTGCAACAGTCCCGCACCTGGCGCTTGGGTCCCGCCTCTGCCCTCGGCCCCGCCCCTCCAAGTACCCTGGGGAACACCTCGGACCCGCCCCGGCTTACCCTGGGGCGGGGCATGTTTACCGGCTCCATACGGAGGTGCTGAGGGGGTCAGGCCTCCCCCGGGCCCAGCACCACTTCCGCCCGGCCCCACTAAACCGTTGCCCCCGGCGCCGCCGTCAATGGGCTCGGACAGCAGTGGGGAACGCTCTCCATCTGCCGCCATGGCCGCCACCGCCGCCTCCTGCCTGGATCAGTGATCCAGCTCCCTTCGTCGCCGCCGCCGCCGCCGCTGCTACCGGGTCCCCAGGGCGCCTGCGCGCCGCGCGCCCAGCTCACCCTGCAGCCAGTGGCCTGTCCCGCCCCGGTCTGTCCCGCAGCACGTGATAGGCTGTCCCCGCCCCCGCCATGCTATCATTCGTGGAGGTAAACCAATTCCCGGTCAGTGAAAGCAGCTCTCCTTTTCCACTGGGGAGAGTCGTGCCAACGTCACTGTCACATGACCTGCCGGGAGCGGCTGAGTTTGCAAAAATTGCACGTGACTGGAGGTTCTGCCAGCCATTGGAAGCGTGGCCCATCGCGCTACCTCCAGACCAGGAGGTGGGGCAGGGTTGCTTCTGTTCACTGGTCACGTGTTTCAGGAAACGACCCACCCTCGGTTACGCGCCCCGTCTGCTTCTCATTGGTGCAAAGACTTCACCAAAGACTTTTCTTCACGTTATAATTAGCCTCTCATTGGCTGGTGGTTTCCTTTCCCTTGTCTTGTGATCCTTGAGGCACAACTTTATTGGCCCAAACTTAGCGCCAGAACATTTGAGGCGTGGCTTAAGCATTTTAAGAGGAGGAGCAGTAAAAGTGCCAGAAGCTTGGTTTTTTCTGAGCAGCGGATAGAAGG